AAGTCCCGCCCCTATTTATTACTAATTCACAAGACACCAGCATGCGTGCTGCCCTTATTATCAAAGCGTGGCAGCTAAGTATCGTAAACTCGACTCGCTTTAACTCAAAGATCAGAAAAAAACCTTTTATGATACCGACTGCCTTAAACAGAAGAAACACAAGCAGCAGCAGCTACTTCTCGTTTGTATTCCTTATATTCTTATTAACAGGAATAATCGTAAACCAAGTCAGACATTTAGATAAAAGCCGTGTCACACTGCTTAGTGCTTCTATAACCAGAATGAAGCGCCGTTCATCTCTGTTGTATTTGGGTGCCGACTGAAAAAGACTAAACCAGAACCGTCTGAACAGGTCAAAGATTTCTGGAAATATTGGTGATTTCAGCACCACAAAGAGGATTTTACAGCTGTGCAAAAACAAACAAAATGAAGTTTTAATGAAGGGAATGTAGTATTTTTCAGCAGAGCGACACCTGAACCAGACTCTCATGCAGGGAAACGACATTTATGGAAATCAGAAACCAACATTAAAGGCATTAATGAAAAGTAATGGGTCAGCAGAACAACTTTTCACGTTACTTTCCAGCCTCCAGTCCAGTTTTACACAAATGTTTTTGAGACCTTGTTGTTCAGGATTTCTGCACTTAAGCCGAAAACCTCAAGTCATTATTTAGATTTTGTTATAACGTGTGGGAAACATTTATGCAGCATCATCATGTATCACTCACAAGGTGCTCCTTACTGTACATTACTTGAATATCTACCATCATTTACTGTATATATATAAGTGTTTCTTCCACCTAAAACTTACTTATATTTTTACTGATAATACTGTGTGATGTATTTTTTTCAAATATTATTTCATGTATTTCAGCATTGTTGACTAACTTGCTGCCGGATCACAGATTAATGAAATGTTCAGCTGCGTTGACTTTACTTTTTTGCCCTCCGGACTACCTCTGAACACAGCCTGGGTCGCAGGTCTCAGTTAAACTGTGGCTAACAGTTTTTCCAACATCAGACCTTCAGGCCATGTGGATCGCAAAAAAAAAAAACCTTGAAATAACTGTCTAACTAGTACTGTTGTAGTCCACACATCTCATCTCACTACATTCATACGAGCAGAAGTGAATGGAAGTCAGCCTGAAGGGTGCCTCTTAATCCAACGACAGCCGAGTCAATGTGTGCTATCCGAGGGCCGCTGCAGAGAGCGCCGGCCCGATCTGAGAAGCGTTCCCACCTGACCGCCTCGGAATCAGCTGACCAGTTGGTGCAGTAGCTTTAGTATGTTTAACGAAGCCGTACAAGAGTCGTGCTGTGGATAAGTCGCATAAGTGCAGATGTGATGCTTCAAAAAGACAAATCCTGCATCTGTGAGCCATCATAAGTGTTCACTTCACTTCTACCACATTTTGTTTATTCTAAAGTGGATTAAATTCATTTTTTGGGCTTTAGCTCACCTGGCTGAGCTGGCGACCCACGTACAGGGCCTGTAGTCTCTGATGCAGCGGCCGTGGGTTTGAATCCCGCTCGTGGCCCTTTGCTGCAACCACTTCCACCGCTGTCCTGTCTCTGTGTCAACTAATAAAGGCAAGAAAAGGCCAAAAAAATAACTTACAAAAAAAAATCTACACAAAATGCAGCATTATAACGGCTTAAAAAAGTTTTTTTTGAGATTTTTGCAAATTTATTAAAAATAAAAACCTCAGAAATCACGCGTGCATTCACAGCCTTTGCTTGATATGTTGTCGATGCAGCTTCGGCAGCAACTGCAGCCTCAAGTCTTCTTGAATATGACGCCACAAGCAAGCTTGGCTTTTTATGTTTAATACATTTGCAAAAATCTCAGAAAATTTTCAAGTTGTCATGATGGTGGATTTTGTGTAGAATTTTGAAGGAAAAAATTAATTTAATCCATTTTAGAATAAGGCTGTAACATAAGAAAATGTGGTCAAAGTGAAGCGCTGTTAATACTTTCTGGATGCGTAAAAGAGACGCGTCTGTCAAACATGTCATAAATCCTGTATTGTTTTTTCCAGCACAATTTTTTCTCTAACTAACTTTGAGCATTAATATTATGGGCTGTATCCTAGTTTTTATAGCGAATGTGACACAGAATGATAGAAAGCAGCACTGGCTCCCTGCATCTGTTTTCTGATTATTCCCCTTTAAAAACTGCATTTTGTGTTCAGGAGTCCTGTCACCATGTAGGACAACAAATGAAAGGCGGCATTTTTACCCACATTTTGCTTCCAGGCTCCTCTTTAAGCCTCGATTCCTTCTCTGTCAAAACAGTTTTATAGAACAGACATGTTTTGACAGTCGCAAATTGTATTTTTAAGGAAATAAAAGCATGATCATTTCTGCCACAATCATAGTTTTTGTGGCCTTGTAGGAAAGAAAGAGGAGAATGACACATCACCCTCATGGTTCTCAATGCAAACAGCAGAACGAGAGCTGAACGCCGTCAGAGGAACGTTTGAAAAACTCTCAGACGAGCTGAACGCTCCAGAGTTGTTTGACCAAATTAAAACAGAAAACCTGTGAATGTTATTTATCCATTTTACAGCCATGAGTTAGATTTACAACTGCTGAAATATGACTTCGTGAATCGTGACTAGAAGACGAGCCTGGTGTCGATGACTCGATGGTGTGACTGTTGGAAGTTTAGCCAAAATGCACTTTTAAAGTTTTTTTTTTTTCCGGTGAGCTGTCAGAACACAGATCAGGCTACCAGTTCTTCTTCTCTTAGTCTATGTCAGTTCTGAAACTATGACGTGATATCGATGCTGAAAGTTGGTTGTAGAACAAACTGTGCAGAACAAGAAAGAGATTTTATCTTTAGATTACAACACCTTGATGTGCTGGCAGCTTTCATGTTCTTACAAAGATGTGAAGGCTCGAAACAATCTGGATTAAAAGGACCCGTGTGCACTTCAAGGACCTGTAACTTACTCATAGTATGAAGATCAAACTTTGCAGGGCTTTATTGTCCATCCATCCATCATCTCTACACCTTAATCCTCACTAGGAGTCTATCCCAGCTGACTCAGGGTGAAGGCAGGTTCACCTGGACAGGTAACCAGTCTATCACAGGGCTACACTTAGAGACAGACAACCAAGCACACTCACATTCACACCTACGGACAATTTACAATCACCAATTAACCTCAGCATGTTTCTGGAGCCACCTGCAGCCTTTTACTGAATCCACTAAAGTTGATGCACAAAGACGCCCAGCTGGTTCTGAGCGGCTCCGGTGGGAGCTACCGGTCGGTTCTCTGGTGCGGCGGCTCTTCATGTCTGGATATTTACTCCATGTGGGGACGATGCTGTTCTGTGATCTTACTGATAATAGTTACGTACAGTACTTGATCCGTGTTCAACTCTTGAAAAAGTTGAAGTGTAACTTGAGAAATCCTCGTGTATGCCTTACCTTTACCTTTAACACCGTTTTGTAGTGATGTTATTGATGTCTTCATCCACTTCATTAATACAACTCACAAACCTGTGATATATATTTTGTTACGATTCTTTACCTTGTGATTTGTGTTACTCTGCTTCTTTATCGCTTCTCAATAAAATATCACGCCTACCAGCTCCTGTTTGTGTTTCTTATACGAAGCGTCTCTTTGAGTCGGTTTAAATAGTTTTAATGCACACAGACAGAAACAATCCTGGATAAAGAAGAAACCGAACGGAGAGGAACACTTTGAGCTTGTCAGAGATGAAAGACCACAAAATCACTGGAACACAAATTTACACGTCTCTCTTGTGAAACATGGAAGTAGATGTGGAAGCTCCGCTGACAAGCTACCCAACAGTTCAACAGCAATGACACGACATGAGTTTTTTAAAAAAGTGCATCACACTGCGTTTGTGTGCTAACAGTGCAAGATTGATGCTTCCCTTATCGTACATGCATCCGCCGCCGTTTTCACCGTGAAAAACATCCACCAGAGCTGCTCTCCTGAACAGCTTCCCTTTCATTGTCCTTCCTGAGCGACGGTCTGCGTCCGAACTGAGCTGATGGAGGAGAGCTGCTAAGCGTTGAGGGCTTTGGCTACATCTGTGAAGACCAGACGGCTGGGCCTCTGCGTCGTCCCCTGGGAGGTCGTGAGAGTCTGTGGAGGAGATGAAACTCTCAGTGAAGGTTGTGCAGAAGAAGAACACAGTAACAGTGGCTGCAGTTGTTTGGCTTGTGTCTGTGCAACATGGTGTTAATCTGAGGACAATAATATTTCAGGATGGAGACGGTAATTAATTATAAGAACTAGAAGAGAATTTAGACCAGAGGCCACAGAGAGGGAATAAAAAGGTTCATACAGCTTTAAATATACGTCCAACACTCTGCTGAAACTAAATCATCTGAACTAAGCTTCACTTTTTATCTGTTTTCAGTGTATTTCTCTGCATCAACAAATGGTGCTAAAGGTTGAGCTGTGATGCAGGAACAGATATAGAAGAAAAGCTGGAGATTGTACATTCATGATATGAAACTTTGGCTACTGCACAAAAGTTGCTTGAAGTATGTGCACAACAAATAAAAACACCTATTAGTATTAGCTCTTCCATATGTGTGCATCAGATTGGATTTTTCCCTTTAGTTAGTCAAACAAAAGGTGAAGTTTTGAATATTTTTGTGCCTCATGTGGCCTCTGGGAACCTGAACATGTGATTATAAAGTTGAGGAAGCACGAAGGAACGGGTGAAGATGGCTGAAGGTTCAAGGAAAAGATGATGCAGACGGCACGTCCCACTTGTTCTAATGCAGATTAGTCAATATGTTTATCAGCGTCAAACATCTAGTCTTTGAGATACTGAAACAGAGATGAAAGAATGAAGGTTTGTGGAAAAAAAGGGTTCAAGAGAAATGATTAAAAACACACACACACAGGTTGATACTTTACCCTGTTTGCCTTTTACCATAATGCCAAAGTCAAAACTTAAAAGAAAATAAAGAAGAATTATGGCAGTGAAAAAGAAAAACAGCAACTTAAAGCTCTTGGAAACAAACAAACAGCAGATTAACACGTTTAAATCTACACGTTAAGCACAAACCACAAAACTCAACTGGGGCATCGGAAAGTATTTCAAAAGCACTTTGGAAAAAAAAAAGTTCTGTTCTTAAAACTTTCCATTCATGTTTATCTGAATGTGGGAGACAAGTGAAGTGGTGGTTGTCATGGCTTTTGTGGTCGTCAAACCGTCAGCTTGCTGCCAAACAGATAAGAGCGCTTCACATGAAGACACGCAGGAAAACGCTTCCCTCCCAGCGCCGCCCGGCCTACCTTGGCATTGGGACCTGCCAGGCTGCCTTCCCGGCCGTGGTCCAGCAGCTCCTGTTCCAGCAGGTCGTCCTGTTCTTCAGCCGGGTCAAAGTTGTACATGGGCATGAGCTGGTGTCTCAACTTCTCCAACCTGCAGGACGAACCGTAGAGAGGAAGGTATGAATCTTCCATCCATCCATCATCTACACACATCTTAATCCTGAATCACCAATTAACCTCAGCATGTTTCTGGACTGTGGGAGGAAGCCGGAGAACCCGGAGAGAACCCACGCTGCACGGGGAGAACATGGAGACTCACCGGGACGTGAACCGGCGACCTTCTAGCTGTGAGGCGACGGTGCTAACCACCGAGCCACCTGGCAGCCCAGTTATGACTCTTTTCAAGCTAAATGTTGTACGTGGTCTCTACAAAATGTGACCAATTCCACTGTTTCATTTAGCTTTTATCCAAAGCGACGTACATCTGAGAGCAGGTACGACACCAGCGAGGATCTAGTCAGGAGGAAACAACCTGGATAAGAGCCATAGAACAAGTCCTAGTGTGATTGGCCGGTTTGTTTTCAGTCTGTCAAGTGCAGAGGTGTTTCGTGAAGAGCTGGTCTTTAGCGATACCTAAGACTCGTTTGAACTGAATTACAGATTCTGTGATGAATTAGCTTTTAAATCATCAGGATGGTCGTCTTTCTTTAGCCAATCAAAACTTACCGCTTCCGTTTCCGGATATACAGCATCTGGAACAAAGAAGGAAAGATATGAATGGAAAGAAAAACCAACTAACGTGATCCAAGTGATCCAAACTAAATGATCAAGTGTCTAAATGGTTCCTTACTATCGCCACTGCTAAGCCGATGACGGTGATGATGCCAAAGGGCACAAGCAGCATCCCCATCCCCGAGCCCTCGATCACCACCTCTGGGAAGGCCGTGGCGTTGAAGCTGGTCTCGTTTGTGGTTGTGATGGTAACAGTCATTAATGTTCTGGAGGTGACGTTGTCTCTGGCTGCGGGGCTCGTGGAGAGGAAGGGGACGGCGGTGGTGGTGGTGGTGGTGGCGGTCGTGGAGAGAAAGCTCGCCGTTGTCTTTTCAGCCATGGCGGTCGGGTGGAACTGTCTCAGCTGATGATTTTAATCTGTGTGTGGATGTTGGAGGGTCGCTCAGGCTTCAGCGTGATCAACACACTGGTCTGGGGTCTGCCGAGGCATCGGTGGCGGCGTGATGGCCATCAGATCTGGAGAAAAGAAAACAAAGAGGAAAAAAACAACATTTTGAACCCTGTGTGTGATGAAATGAGCTGAAGGTGCCTCAGAGATAGGTGGCTCTTCAGTGAAAAATGCTTCTTTGTGTGATTTCTTTTGTTTCTTGTTTAAATCTGACATTTCCGTTGTGTCACTTCCCACCTCCATTTCCATTCAAATCATGGCTGGTTGTGCCAGCCGGGTTGTGGTAGGTGTTTTTTTTTGTTTTTTTGGGGGGGCAGGATGTGGGTTGCAAAGGCACAGGAGGAAATTGGTAGAACAAACTCGATAAATACCGAGGAATACGAACCGCTCCAACTGTAACGTGCAGTCTGAGGAAATGTGCTGGCATTCAAACCGACGTCAAAATCGACTTACACCCCCACACACACTCTCTCTCACACACACACACACACTCAGGTTCCATAAATATCCATGCACCTCCCACCCACACACACACACACATCCCATGAGAGCGAAAAGCAAAATTTCCTGAAGATTTACACACACGAGGAGCTTTTTTTTTTTTTCTTGCTTTCCATTTTCTTACACGGTGACACAGGAAGGCAGTGAAAATAGACACATGATCCAGTCCTCCCTCCTCATCCTGTCTGCTTGTGCTCTTAATGAGGAACATGTGCAACTGAAGCCAACCAATGAAAAACAAAGAGCTGGATTCAGTCATTTGCTGTTGTTCACTGAACACTTCCAGCTCTGCACAAAGCCGGAGCGAGCACCATCTAACATCTCCATCTCTGTTAGGATCATTTTATGGCCTCACTGCTGTTGTGGATGCATGTTATTTTTAGTTCAGTTGTTCCTGCACAAACAGCTGAGCTACTGCTAATCCTGAGTCTAAACACGTCCAGGTCAAGTGTCCTCTCAGATTAGAGATGCATACGTACCTTAACATACAACATGCATGTTCAGAGGTGAACTGTGGCAGGCTGGGGCTTAGCTAGAGACAGGAAAATTTCATTGGAAGAGGCAGCATTTGCTCCAGTCTGCCCCTCCTCCTCCTCCTCCTCCTCCTCCTCTTCTGCTTCCCCCTTTAGCAATGCAGGTATTGCTCAGGCTGTTTACACTGACAAAACAGCCATTTTCTCTGAAGACGGACTCCACATAGCAGGGTAACCCTATCCCGGCGGGCCCCAGGAGACGCTCCTCCAGCTCTTCGGTTGCCTCCCAGGATCAGCTCTCGCCGTCTTGCCCTTTCTTGTATTTCACACAACAGAGGCTGCTCCAGGGATGCTGCAAACAGAGATCAGTGCGGCGAGCTCCCTCCCCCGTCGCCCTGCAATTGGTCCAACGGCTTCAGGGTGATGAATGCGGTTGGCTCCCTCAGCCGTCCGTTTGGCTTTGCAGGGATGAGAGTGGGATTTAATGGCTCTGCACACCAGATGCTGTCAGACCCATGTGAAAGACTGCATCCGGGTGGCAGGTCTGAGGAAGTTAACCCTGTCGTGTCTTGTGTTTAACCCTCGCTGACCCAAATTGACTCAGAAACACGCAAACAGGAGGGAAAAAAACACTTTTAAAGGCTTTATGTGAAGGATTTATGCAGTAATTGACAGTAAACACACTGTGCTTGTAACAGCGGCAGAGTTTTTTGAAGGGAGAACATTTTCCTTCAGCTCATTTAGTCCACAGTCATCAGTGCTATAAAGTCTGAAAAGGTAAAAGTCAGTAGTAAAGGGCAAGATGTGTAGTTTTCATCCCATTCATTCCCATTTAAGAGCACTTTTTTAAATGCATCAGTGACTTTTATTTGTAATATTTCTTATATATGTTTCTTGTCCAATATAAGCAAACAGACAACAGGCACAAGGACAAGAGGACCCGATGGAGTTTCAGAACATGTAAAAGAACAACAGCCAAAGGGGGTCGATGCTGTTTAAAGCTGAGAGACGTCCGTCAGATTTAAGGAAAAACAGCCCCTCGTTCATAAGGTCCTGAATAAGAAACAAATGAATTAAACAGTAAAAGAAGGTTTCCACATCTTTAGGAAGAAGTTGTAAGAATTTGTAAAGCATCTCATGAAGCTGCCTTCTAAAACATGGAGGTGCTTTAGA